CCGAACTAATAATTTAGAATTAACTGTCATGTAACATCAACAGTTTAAATTGTAACGAAGCAAAAGCTGTCATATTCAAATAATAGCCTATCTATTTATGAAGATTAGTGTTTCATACTTATACGCATGTTTTTTTTTAATGGAAAAAGTACATTTTAACTGTACTTCATTCGCCCAATGGACTTCTTCTTTTGATAGAAAATGTCATAATTATTTTATTTGCAGGTGGTTGACACTTGTGAGGTCATCAGTGCCAAAATTCGATGAAATCGTATTGAACTATGTGAATGACTGCGCGCAGATTGTTAGCAAAAGGGGAAAATCAACATAGACTTCTAATTTAATTTAAGTCCTGTGTAATTTATGAAAATAAAACATTAAATTAATTGAACTGATTATTTTTTTTACTTATCTCTATATCAATCGATAATATAAAAAATATTTCAGATTCACAATGCTTTTTAAAAAAACATTATTGATGACTTCGCCTCGTGAAATGTAAATTAAAAAAAAACGGTTTGTATTCAAAATCGCTAAAGATGACCAGTTTTGCTTTTTTTACTTTGCAAATGTTTTACAAAATGGCTGTCGCCCGCGATTTCGTCCTCGCGGAATAAATAAACTTATTAGTAGCCTTTGTGTTCTTCCAAGCTATGTTATACATCTGTGCCAAATTTCATCGAGATCAATGCAGCCGTTCTGCAGATACGTTCTAACACACATCCATCCATTCATCTAAACTTTCACATTTATAATATTAATAAGATTACTGTTTATTAAATAGTGTTAAAAAATATTTCCATCGTTAACTTTTTTTGAAAATTTCATGTAATTTTTTTTATTCCAATAATTACTATTCCATTTTCAGATAGATTGTTTCTCTACATGAATATTTTTTTTGTGTCGTCTTTTTTTATTTGATTGTATCTTAAATTTACACAAAGATTTATTCATTACCGAATAAACTTAATGTGATTAAACAAAACCTAGTGGCCAGATACACTTAGAGAAAGAAATACACACAAATACAAACATAGTAGCGCTTGGAACAACACAGAATTGTTACGATGTAAAATAATGCGATAAAGGACCCTACCAGTTCGCGCTTTTCATCACCCCTGTGTAAACTGTTCTGGCATCTATCCATTAGCAGGCATAGATTTTGGATCTTGTTATACATATAAACATACAACAGTACATAAGTCTTTAAGTTTGCATAACAAACAGCTTGAAATAATATCTTGAATATCGTGATAGTGCACATCTAAACATGCTGAATCACAATGTATAACAAAACTGATAGTAAGTATAAACATCGTACATTTTTCGTGTTCATTCGATATCTGTGACTGTTCAATATATATCGTTTACGGTAAAAGATTTTATTTATATTTTACAAGTATTTTTTTTAATTTGGTAAGTTCAAAAAAATATATAAAAAAAACATTTTTATTTTTATTTTTGTCCACTCGTATTTGTGGTTAGGATAAATATATTTTAAGTCGCCTTAGACTATTAGTTAGTTTAAATAATTTTCGTGGCATTGTGGCGTATGCCTAGTTTAGGAATTCAAAATTAAATTTAATCTATTGAGTGTAACTATGCACAAACGGCGAAACGAACGGAAAAAAATTATTTTATTAAATATTTTTTTTTGTAAATCCTTCTTTGACCTTCAATTTAAACATTACAAATAAATATTGTATTGTACACCATAGTTAAAGGCGCCTTAAAAATTAATTCTAATTCATTTCTATTTAGCTTAACTTAATTTTTTTAAGACATCGAGATGACAATCGACTACTATTATATGGACGGCTCACCGCCGTGCGCTGTGGTCACCCTGACCATCACAGCGCTGGGCATTGAGGACAAAGTCAAGACTCGTCGTGTCGATGAAATGAACGATGAACATTTAAAGGACGACTACTTAAAGGTATTTATTAAAGTCAAATCTATTTCACATTTTATTAAGGTGACACAAAACCTTTCATTTGAAGAGAACTATAATTGTTTTTTTCATTACTTTTCAATCTATTATATTTTTTTACAATAGTTTCATTGATATGGGTATGCATACAATTACATAATTTGCTACCACTTAAAAACTTATACACTTTAAAGAATCAATGATAACGCCCTACACAAATCAGTTCTGATTAGAATTATCATAATTATGACCGATATACCACTTCCTAGATCCAATAACATTAATTATACTTAATAATAAATAATTTACGAACAGAATGAGAAAAATTCAAATTTTAATAACTTCTGTAAGCTTAGCTAAAAATGCAAAGATCTTATCATCTTACTGTGCAACAAGGGTAGCGAAATCACAATATTTTAAATGAGGTAAAGCCTACAACAGTAATATCCGCAAATAGCAGTAATAATAACAGTTTGCATGCACGGTCGGCTTTAAAATTTCCGGCGCCCTTTGCAAGATTTTTGCGGCGCTCTTTTTTGGTGTCGGGGAAAATCTTCTAAACATAGGGTATCTTAAAGAACCGCGCAGGCGCCCCCTTACATTCGACACTGGCGCCTGCAGCGCCATGATCGGTCGCCCCACCTCAACCTACCCTATTACTCGCAGAACTGGTGAACCACAACTACACAGAAGACAGCCGTGAAGAAGAAGTATTACACTATAAACTGTGTGTACTTCTTCTCTATTTCTGTATTCCATTATATGACTTTTATTCCAGATAAACCCGCAGCACACAGCGCCTGTAATCGTAGACGATGGCTTTGCTCTATCCGAGTCTCGTGCCATCGCCAAATATCTTGTGGCGAAGTACGGCAACAACAAATATTACCCCCAGGCTATCAAAACCCGAGCTCTTGTAGACCAGAGGCTAGACTTCGATATAGGAACCCTTTATCCTAAACTTATTGATATATACGTGAGTATAAAGATAATAATGCCAAGATAAGGAGATGTCACACGGACGTTTGTGCGACTCTACTAAGTTATAAGAGGTCTAAAAGATGACTAGACGAGACTGTGTGTCAAAACAAGGCGCGCCATAACTCTATTGTGATAAATGTAATTGTAAACTCAGTCGTATCCTAAACAGAATAATCGCAAGTAACTTTGTTTCCAGTTCTCGAAAATATTGAAGACGCCTTTGACCGAGGCTCAGTTGAAGAAGATGGATGATGCCCTGAATATCCTCAACGTGTATCTGAAAGAGAACAAATTTGTCGTTGGAGCGGAACTCACGCTGGCCGACTTCAGTCTTGGCGTGTGTGTCGCGCTGATGGAGGCCTTTGAAATCAGCATTGAGAAGTATACTAATATTGTCAGGTACGTTGCATTTAAAATTAGCTGTGACCGGTGACTAAATCGATTAAAAAAATAAAACTAAACTAATTAAAAATAAACTATACCCTATTTCTGACTGTCATCAAATCTGTTCTTAATTTCATCCAGTTCCATTTAATAGAGTTAGGTGATAATAACATCCATACAACCATTGAATAAATCGTATTAAAGTTAATTTTAGTACCATTTCAATATTTTATGTACATTTTGATTTTGTATGAAATTACAGATGGTTAACACTCGTAAAGTCAACTCTGCCAAAGTTTGAAGAGATAATAACGAAGACTACAAATGATGGCAAAAAACTTATAGAGATCATGTCAAAATCACAATAAATATTTGAAATATAAAATATTTTTTACTTCATAAACTTTCACTTCGTCGTTAAATAAATAACTTTAAAGAAAATCGATCGTTTCATTTATGATAAATCATTTTAAGACATAAAAAAAAGTAAGACATAATCAACATCTACTATATTTTTTAAATCATATTATAATAACCTTACGCTTAAAAAATAATAAAAATACAAGAGTAGGTATATTATGTAATAACTCTTGAACATGTTGTTTCTAAGTACAGTCTCGGAAATCCGTGGTGTCGCACAGAAAAATCTCTTTTAAGTTAGGACACCGCCAATTTCCTCGACTGTACAAAAATACATTACAGGCATAGTTTTAGCTAGATGTGCATGTTATGTTGTGACTAGATTTTAAAATAGGTTACTCCATTATATAATTATATTTAATGTATACATTTGTAATCGGAATAATGTTAAGCCAAGAGAATTTCGTACCGTCTGTTGGTCATATAAATATAAAAGAAAAAGAACATATTTTGTGACAAATTTATTTATAAAATTACTTTATTAAAATTTAAAATAATCAATTTATTTTGTGAAAACAAAATAGCATTTCAATTTGAGTTCAATGATCGAAGCTTTCCAATAACTTCTTTGTATTCTTGTACGCCTTTTCCATTAGCTTCTTCGTAATCAGGCGCCGTATTTTTAACAAGATCAAACCATCTGGAATTAAAAACACTTGAACTTTATTATATGTATATAAATAATAAATATAAATATCATATTCCAAATTAATATCAAAGCTTCGTGCAACTACTAAAAACAAGGTTTATCCCTTATCCATTCCTGGTTGCATTCTCTTTTCACGTATATATTTCTCTGCTAAAGTCGGGTCTGGCTACACTGCGTTACTTCATATACATTTGCTCAACATTGTTCCCGAAGCTCATTTCAAAATTTTTATGGTTTCTGTGAACCCCTAGCTTCAGAATACATTTCTTCTTAAAATTTGCGAACCTTTTATTTACTGTCACTTGAATTACTTTAAGGAATCACTAGGTTTATAATATAATGCCTTACCTGAGAATATTAGGGTACTCTGCAATACTAATCCCAACTGAATCGATAGTTGACACGTTGGCGACAACACTGAGGTCAGCCAAAGTCAGTTCCTCCCCAGCTACATACTTGTTCTTCTCCAGGAACGTGTTCAGCATGGCGAAGGCTTCGTGCAGTTTCTTCAGCGCCCCCTCGTCAGCTGACTTACCTTCCAGTACTTGTGGATACTATTCAAATTGGGTCGAATTAGATTTACTATGACTATAATCAGGGCTAGGCAAAGTGCATTCTCTACGAAGCGATTCCATAACGAACTTCAAAAATGTATAGAACTGACAGTAACTTTCGATAAGTCACGTGATTGTCGCGCGTCCGTTACATACATTTTCGTAGTACTTTATCGCTTTGGAGCGAATGTATTTTGTCTAGCCCTCCCATACTCTTATATCATAGATAACCAACCAATCTGCAATGTCGCATGTCTAGGAGCAGTTGTCGCTTCGCTATTTTAGCGAAAACAAAAGGCAAAATGAAACAGAGGTCCGTACATTCTCGTGATAAACAAAGCCAGGTTTCAAACAAATTCCTTTATAAAAATGTTCAATACTTACAAAGTACTGATAAAATCTGGCATACAATGTTCCTATATCGAAGTCCAGTCTCTGGTCTATTACAGCTCTCGCTTGAGGGTCTTTTGGGTACAGGGAGCTATCGCCGCCATATTTGTTGACAAGGTATCGCCCGATGGCGCGAGACTCCCATAGGACGAAGCCATCGTCTACGATGGTAGGTATATTATGTTGAGGATTCATCTAGAAAAAGATATTTTTTTTATTTAGGATTAGAATATTACTATATTTCAGAATATAATCTATAACAGCGAATCTTAAACTTATTTCCTCGCAGACAATTTCAATTTAACTATAATAGAATCAGTAAACTCTACGCTACTTTTATTCTTTGACCTATTTTCCGTCATCATACATTTCCAAATAAGATATGAAGGTCTATGTTACCAGGTCATAAAATTAAAAAAAAACATCATACATTTATCCCTTGCTATAATACATTTACTCTTTGACCAATTTTCACCACCTGGACCACTTTGGGGTCATTGTATTAGTAATTTCTTAATGTAATTTAGACATTATTGCATACCTTGATATATTCCGGACGCATATGCTCGCCGGCCATTAAGTCGACTTGTTTGCGGTTCAATGGGACGTGAAGTGCTGCCGCCACTAACTCCACAAAGCGGCAAGGGGCCGAAGCTTTTGAGTGGTAAAAGTCGATCGGCATTGTTACTAATAGATTTTACTGAAATAAATATTATAAATGCGAATGTTAACATGGATGTGATGTGAATGGATGGACGAGTGGGCTACACTAATTTAGTTTTTTTATATATCCACGCGGACGGATTCGCGGGCGACAGCTAGTTTATAGGATAAAAAGTAACGGGTAAAAAAACGTTTAATGGCTACCAATGAAAATAGTGTTCATACTAAAAATACATATTAATGCCGGTAGTTAGAATTTAAAAAAAATTATCGTAAGTATAACAGCCGTTTTTGTATTAAGCTGTTTGTGTGAGATTGTCCATACAGATAAGATTAGAAATATTCATAGTGGAATATGTCTAATAGTATTTATTTTGTATACTTACAAATATATTAAGAAGGAAGCAGGTCTGATGTTTTCGTACCACTTCACAGGCACAGTCTGAATCTATTTCACTCTGTTAACTTATATCATCACCTCGTAATTTTTATCTACATACTAAACTTATCAAAAGGCATGACTGTGCAGTTTCCAACGTGTCAGATAAATACTGTTTTTATGTTTTTGTTTATAAGACCGATTTTAACAACGGAATTCCAATTCTTATTTCCCAACGTTATAAAACGAACACTAATTTTTTGTCGGTTAAACTAATTTATAAGCATTTTAATAAAAAAAAACTATCAACTTTAGTTAAAATACTAGCACTAATATTTGCGACAATCGCATTCGTGTCGTCATCGTCAATTATGTCAAAAATAGTATGTGATTTTTGGTGTACTTCACGCCCGATATTTTGCTGCACAACTTTCAAAACAAAGTTTGTCGAATACGATGGATTGTCACAAATATTCCTGTTGGGCCCATTGTTTTACTGGCTTGGAATAAAGGGTTTTTAAATAACAAAAAAAAACGCAAAACATTAAGCGTTTCATTAAATAATTTCCATTTATTCCTACTTAATTTCATATAACAAAGAACACTATTTCATATCTAATCTACAGATAAAAAATTTAAGATGAAATTGCACATTTATTGAATTATTTTGTAAGGAAATTATTAGTTATATGTACCAGGAAGTTTGAAGATAACTTACTAATATTATAAACGTGAATGTTTAGACGGATGAATGGATGTTTGTTAGAAGATATCGGCAGTATGGATTTCGTTGAAATTTGGCATAGATTTACAACATAGTCTGGAAGAATACATAGTTTACTACGTAGCCAGTTTAAGAATAAAATAAGGTTATTCGTGCCAGTGCCTTTCAGTAGAAAAAATGTCTGACAGTTAAGGTGGTAAATTAAAAAAACATATATAAAAATGTATTTTTATTGATAACTTAAAGTATATACATAAAAACGGTTATAAAATATACAAATACAAAATTAAAGTTCAGTTTTAGGCTTGAGGTTGTCTATCATAAGTTTGAACATCTTAAGACCTTTGCCGTTGGCTTCTTCATAGTTAGGTGCAGTTTTCTTTACCAGTTCGTACCATCTGTAACAAAATAAATATAATTAACATTCAATGCCATATTATTGTCGTTGTAACATTGGTAGAGGCCAGCAAAGTCAGTTACGAATGTGCCTCGTCCGGTGAAATAACACGACCAAAGAGAAGACACGCCCCGGGAAGTTGATTTGACGGAGGAAGGGATTCATAGGAAAGGAATATATCTCATCCGTCGATTAAAAGCAACGCATTTGTGGACGTCTATGGGCAGCGGTCGCTTCGCTACTTCGGCGAATTCAAGTGATTGCTTACCATCTTATAATATAAAGAAATTGTTACTTTCGGATTTTTTCCGGTCTTATATTGTGATATGAGATAGCGCATAGACAACTCGATTTTTTTTCTCACCGAACAACATTAGGATATTCAGCAATGCTGATCCCGGCTGTATCAATGGTAGACACGGTGGCCACCAGGCTGAGGTCAGCCAAGGTCAGTCCCTCTCCTGCCGCGTACTTGCTCCCCTCCAGGAATGTATTGAGGAAGTCCAGACTACCCTTCAGCTGCTTCAGATGCTCCTCGTTAGCGGGCTGACCACCGAAGATTTGAGGATACTGGCAATATAATAATAATTAAAAACATTGCCATATTAAAAAAATACGTCTATTTAGTGGCGAACTAATTTATTTTTATCTTTTTCATGACATTTATTTTTTGTTATGCTCTGAATTAATAATAAACTTAGATAAGAAGGAATTAGCGTTCGACATAACGTTTCATTTTTCCAATGTTAAAAAAAACAGATTTTATCTTGCTGACATGTGACTCTAGTTGGTCTAGACTCTAGTTAAAATGTGCTTAACTTACAAAGTACTGAGCGAATTTGGGATACAGTGATCCTAAATCAAAGTCCAATCTCTGGTCTACTACAGCTCTAGCTTTAGGGTCTTTAGGATATAGCTCGCTGTCGCCGCCATATTGATTCACCAGGTACCGGCCGATGGCGCGCGACTCCCATAGAGAAAAACCATCATCTACAATCGTTGGGACAGTGTGTTGAGGATTTAACTGGAAAAAAATATGCATATTTTTATTTCATTATATTCGTTTGTTTTATCGAAACCCGAATTAAATACTTCGTTCTCTACCTTACTAACCGTGGGTTTCTGAGCCCAAAATCCCTGTTTAAAACATATTGGTATCTGTTTTGTCAAATATGAAAGACAGGGATAACGATGTATTTTACACATCTCTTCTTCTATTTCCGGATAACTATCGTTTAACTGACCATAATGATGGTAATTAAAATCGACTGAGCAAGTGTAACTCACCTTTAAGAAATCCGGTTTCAATTGTTCTCCAGCTCTGAGGTCCACGAGGTTGTGGTTGACGTTGATATTAAGAGCGGCCGCGAACAGCAACACGGCGCGGCACGGCGCCGACCCCGGAGTGTAGTACAGGTCTATTGCCATTATTTCTGCTCAAAACAAGCATAGATAATATATTTTAAAAGAAACGTCAAATCCACTCTCCCCATCCCACCATTATAAGAAAACTGTGGGAAGGGAAAGAAGACTAATTTTAAGCAGCCGGCACCCCAACAGACGAAATGCAAAATTGCCTCCACTTCACGCCTGTCTTCTGTTTGGTTATTGCACCGGGCGAGCTGAACAATTCGTGCAACAGATGATTTGCTGGCTCTTACATCCTATTTTGCTTAGTATACTATTATATGTTTATATCACTTTAGTATTTTGTTCACAAAAGACCTTGCGGTGTTAAAAAGAAAATAGGTTTACAAGTTGTAAAGCGGTTCACCGTAACCAGTAACGGATGTAAGATAAATAAGTATTGGAAACTGATAGTATTTAAATACTGGAATATTTTATGGAATACATTTTATGTCAAAACTACTGGCAATTATCAAATATTACATCACCGGGGAAACATTGAAAAAAAACATGATGCAGCACATTTAATATTTTTCTGCAATAACGTGTCCTTGTGTTAATGCTTAGATACCTGACCATAGCTTATTAAAAAAACTTTATTATTTCATCAACGAATTTAAATGAGCGGATTTCATTCTCGTCTTAATAGCAAAAACAAATCATTCTGCATATAGCGACTTAGTCAATTCGTAGATTGTTGTCTACTGACTACATATTATCTAAATTAAAAAGTAGCGATTAGTACTTAATTTACCTAGAAATAATAATAACTTTAATGTATTATAATTAACAATACAATTAATAAAATGTATGTAAAAGTACTTACGATTGCAGTGAACGATACCGCCGCAGACGCCCACCTAGCGTTTACTGACCCGAAGTAACCTAACTACGCCGGCCGGCTGCTATCTCACGAACATTGTGGAAACACTAAATAACCTTGAAATTTGTACACAAAATAAACTGTGTATACGATTTTGTTTGTTTTATAGAAGCGGCAATATTAAAATCATTAGCAATGAATTGTTTGACTTGTAAATATGAAAGAAGTAAATAAGCTTCGAAATAATAGCCTAAAAAGTTGTAATTTATATATAAAAACAAAGGAATCGCAAGTTTTTTATCCATTGGTATTTCATGAACAAAGAAAAACTAGCTTTGGAATGTTACTAGTCTTAATACTGCTAAAAATGTTATTCAAACCCTCGTTTTGTTCTAGAAACGTCTAATTTATTTCGTTTTCGCGTATTTAGTCAAGTCATTGCATTGGTTAAAATGAACAATAATTATTGTGCAATAGCCACGTCAGAGTATCGAAAGTTTATCTCACGAAATGACGAAACAAGTTTACCGAAATTGTAGTAATTATATTACGAGAAAATGCCTTGAACCAAACTTCCTAATTTGGATCACTGAGAGATAGACCAATTTCATCTTTTTTGACATACCCTTATTTCCTATTACTTACGTAATTGTCAACAATGAATACCTCTAACATTCTATTGGAAAAGGTAAAAATAGAATGAAACACAAAGAAATTTACATTATATTTTATTATCTTTGTCTTTAATAAAGTAATTACAGATAGGCACTAAAAAAATAACCATGCATATGAAGACCATAATAACATATTTCTTATACAACGAACACTGTCTCAGTGGTGACGAGCCGCGAGACTGTCGTCTCCGTGCCCGACTGGGTTAATGTGAATGAGACCAACTTGTTTGCGTGCGTAGGCTCGCCTGAGTATTCAATAGATATTAAGACGGCACTAAACTAGCAGGTGAACGCCCTTATTTCCATAGACAAGCAAGCCCTTATTTCCATAGACAAGATGGCGTGACAGATTAAAAACGCGCGGCAAAGTCCCACCATCTTATTTCTCTCAACAAAATATTATCAAACTTTAAAAACGACCATGGCGGCGACTTCGTTAACGATAACACTATATAGATAAGCCCTTACATTTATTATTTTCTTTGAATTAACTTCTAAACGAGACAGCGTGTAAAGTTACTTTTACCATGTCGGTAATTTTGTTTATTTTGAACTACAAAGTTTAATTTTTATAAAACTCAATAAAACAGAGCAAAATTAAATAAAAAAATTGGAAGGAACACTTTTAAAACATTCCTAGCACCCGATTTGAATAAACATTTTCATTGTAATTTCCAGTATATTTTCATAAACATAAAACATGCAAGGGCCATCTACATATTAGCTTGTCTTACCAAACATAAAAGGAGCAACCTTCCTCACATCTCCGCTACAAACTTGAACAATGAAAGCTATCAATGTCTCAACACTTCCGCTGAAGGCACATAATATCCGTAAAGAAAAAAATGATCATTTTAAAAAAGCTATCTCTTAGTTATCCTACCGGCTAATGTTATACAAAAAAAAATGAATTACACATATTTGAACCACGAAGCGACGATTTGTGTGCTATATAACATCATTAATTATATATTTATATATATTTTCAAGCCAACACTATTGCATCATTTGGAACCGATCAAATTTGAACAAATCACATATCATACGCAGCCGGAAAGGCTAACAATTGTATATTAACTAAATAAATAGATATATAATGAATTATCTACTACATTCAAACAAAATAGCTTTTAAAATATAACAGGGAACGAATTAAAATTGTGAAAAATAATTGAAAGCGCATTAAAGAAAATAAAAGATAATTTAGTGTGCATCTGAATAATTTCAACATGTATTGATACTACATAGTGTTTAAGGAATCGCTCACATTACAATAATTATTAAATATATAGATTTTGTTTAACTTTATTCATTCCGACACTAAATATCAATAATTACAGAAAGCTATCTACATGAGCCGCAGCTGTGGCGGCAGCGCGGCGCGGCGGCATCACCGCACTGCGCTACCCACCACCGTCCCTCTGTCCGTCCCCTGTCCTCTCTCCTCTGTCGTCTGTCGGGAATGATTCAATCTTGTGTTTACTATACCATTCTCTTCCCTCTTCGGCTCCATCGTGAACTGGACTTTCTACAAATAACGACTATTGTTAAAAGTTATCTACTTTTATTATTACTATAAATACATATTCGTTTCTGTAATAGATATGAAAAGTTATTTTAGCATTTTACATAATCAAAGACGACATATAAATTAGAAATCAAAAAAGTATACGGTCTCTTGACTCGTACTTATTTATATAGTCTATAGTCTAGACATTTTTTTTATACATTGAAAAATTACAATTGTCTTATAATTGCAATTATTAAAACAAACTTGTCAGCTAATCGAAAATTGTCAGAGATGGTAACCAATACGGATTATGTTGAAATTCACTCGTTGTCTTCGTATCTTAACTTGTATGGGATGTGTATGTATGTGTATGGGGTATGTACGCGGTGCACATACAGTGTCTACTGGCAGCACTGCTTGCGCACGGAGTCTGCGGCGGGCCGCACGTCCGCCGGCTCCGCGTCCGGCCGGATCACGTCGCCCTCGGGCGGCTCGCGCATCTGCTTCTGAGACACGATCCTGTAGATTTCTGCAACACATACATCACTTTTTTATACTTCACCAATAATTCTGTACATATTACATCATCTGTTCACTAACACATCTATTATTAAAGATGATAAAAAGTTCATACCAGTTAGAATATTCTGGAATGCAGGCTCCACGTTGGTGGAGTCGAGGGCCGATGTTTCAATAAAACTAAGACCATTTTTTTCCGCGAACGCTTTCGCTTCTTCTGTCGGGATGGATCTGTAAAGAGTTTTTTTAATTATTTGCATTAAAATCTACAGAAAAAACATCAATAAAACTACATAAAGTCAATATTAATTTTAATTATATGTAAAATTTTTCGTGTTAGATGATAAGATCATTATTGTCTCGTCTACATGACTAGTAATATGCCTCAGGTTTCTCACATGTTGACGATCATTTAACATTAAGCCTATCTTGTATGAGTTTGTTTCGTTCATTCAACTATTGTATGAATATGTCGTGTGTGTCGTGCTTACCGCAGATGCCTGAGATCGCTCTTGTTGCCGACGAGCATAATGAGTATGTTCTGGTCGGCATGGTCGCGCAATTCGCGCAGCCAGCGCTCCACATTCTCGTAGGAGAGGTGCTTCGCGATGTCGTACACCAGAAGCGCGCCCACAGCACCGCGGTAGTACGCGGACGTGATCGCGCGGTACCGCTCCTGACCCGCCGTGTCCCAGATCTGAGCTTTTATGGTTTTGCCGTCCACCTGGAAACGATCACTTACATTTTAGACTACATATTTCTTGTAAATTGGTACAAAAAGTAAAGTTGCAGTTCATATTAATTTGGAGTTTATTAGGTTTTTGGTTGCTTGCTCGTCTGTTATTGGAGTGATTTAATGGTGTACTACATTTAAAAACTTCGTCGAACAAGACACATTAAAGATAGCAGTCCCCGCCGCCCAGATCTAGTCTAGATCATTGGCTTATCAATACCATGGTGCCCAATAACGTCTAAAAACATAAACCACCATATTAAATTTACATTATTCTGTTATAATTACGAGTAATATCAAGGTATCATACACAATTTTAATAAATGCGTAACTTGTACAAGTTAACCGGTTGTAGTCGTGCACAGCATTATCAAGGTCAAGATTGTACATCCTTATATTAATGTCAGAACTAGGAACAACGATACGAACAGACAAACTAGTTTCTTTACTATAAAAATCATGTAACCTTAAGAGTAATACCAAACCAATAAAGTCAACGCAATAAGTAACAAACCTATCGTTATCCCTTTCATTATCTTTGACAAAATAGAGATAACAATTCATATGTATATTCGTCTATAATCTATTCCAATAGATAAAACTATATTCTATATGCATCAGAGTTCAATAGCGACGTACACACATGAACGTATCAATAGCGGTAAAGTGGGTGAAATAACACGACGCATAGAATTCGGGACACCGGCCTGCACCGTTAGAGGTCACCCACACTTACGTATGCCGTTTGAACTTCCTGCGTATAAACTGGACGAAAGGAAGTTCACTTTAGGATCAAGTAACGAAAAACTTGGACTAAAATAGCTTTAAGTTGTTATTTAAAAAAGGTCAGAAAAAACATTTTGAACAACGGAAATTATCCGAGAAAAACCAAACAAGGACGTTTTAATACAGCTAATGAACGTAAATAATAATGTACTATATTTGCTTAACCTATATCTATAACTTACCGTGAGTTTCTGAGACGAAAATCTCCGTTTATAACATATCTTTGAGATATTAGAGATAACATACATTTTAAAAGGGGACTTTGGTCTCAGAAACTCACGGTGTCATTTTATTTAATATACGTACTTTTATTAACGAGTTAAAATCACATAATAATTATGTTAGTTGCAGTAAGAGTAATGTAATGAAGCTGTACACAATGTTTACACTCCAATTAATTTATTTACGGTTCACAGAGTAACTGTTACTAGGTTTTATTAGTATGTCTTACTACTTGATACTTTGGTAATAGTAACTATCAAATATCAATTATCTATTATGATCTATATTTTAAACTATAAAGTTAAACCTGGATAACCGAGTGTAAGGGATCGCGATATTTTTCTTGCTCATAGCGGTGTCTCTCTAACCCGAGTTTCTCGCATATGGAGGTCGTCCGTCGGGACCGGGCAATGACTTGGTTATCCGGGTTCGATTGTATTTAAATTTGTCTAGTGATATACGCAAATGATTTCATATGGTTTACAGTAAGAAAGCCCCACCGTTGGACACTCAATATCAATATTCTACAAATCGATCTATAAACAACATTTCGAATATGATGTCTTCGCATTATTTCCTGCAGTTTAAGTCGAAAAAAGTTCGTATATTTCCATTAGCAATGACAAATCGCTTGTAACTAACTGCAAACACTATCATATGCATGAATCAGACTACAAAAACACGTCACGTATCATGTTTATTTGATTGTGGAGCATTGAAACTCAATTATAATTTGTTATCAACATCATCAAGCAGAATACATACAAGGTTAGTTATTACAATAATGGTAAGTAAATAGGTCAATAATGTTGAGTTACTATCGCTATTAACATCAAGTAGAATAAACTCCGGTCAAGGAAATGTTTTATGTCCTACTACCAGTCGCCCGCGATTCCGTCCGCGCGGAATTAAAAAAAACATTATTAGTAGCCTATGTGTTATTCCAGACTATGTTCTCTGACCTGTTCAGCCGTTCTAGAGATAACTTCAAACATACATCTATCCATCCATCTAAACATTCGCATTTATATGTTAGTAAGAAATAAGACTATAAGGTACACGTAGGTGATTTCAATATACAGGACAAACTTTTGATCCGTGCATTAAGTATCATCCTGTATAATAAAAAAAATATTTTTTTTGGATAATATTGCATGGTATTCAGAACTAAGAATATGTACCAAATATCAGATCAATCTATCTACAGGAAGCGAGCCTAATTTAATTGTTAGATATGACCCGAATAAACGCAGCAACTCAAATAAAACAGTTTAAACAAATTCACGATTCTGATACATACGTATCTCATATCTCTTTTAGAATACTACATGACTGGTTTCTAAACAGTCCAATAGATGGTACTAGCAGACATATATTCCTAAGAATCCGTAGATAGAAATAGTTCCAAGAACTTTGAAGCACAAATACGACTACATAAAATCTACGATTCACGAGTTTTCCGACGTCCATATAAAAAAGTGTCATCTTATTCTCGTTGGAAAAAAAGAACACCCTGTTTCAGTACATTTGTTTCAGTGTACACTGACGCTTATAGAAATCAAGACTAACACTTGAAGCATGTCAATCGTCACTTCATTATCTTGAGTCACACGCTGATAATCTAGATTACACGTAACGTGTTCGACACGACTTAAATAAATTTCGTTCGCATCGATTATGTGGCCCGGGCCAAGGCCTTTACACAAGCTACCTTTATTGAAGGCTAAATTCGAACTCTTGTTTACAACAGATATTTAAAAGGTACAAAAATAATAATTGCTACCGGAATTAATGTTATTTACTTATTCCATCTGTGAATTGCTTAACCTTTCATTTAAGTAAACATAGCCTTTCTGAAGATGGATCTGAACGTAACAATATTTATCTTACTAATATTATAAAAGGGACTGTTTGTATGTATGGATAGATGAAGATTTGTTAGAAGATATCTCAAGAATGGCTGCATGAATCTCGCTGAAATTTGACATAGACGTTGAACAAAATCTTGGAAGAACACGTAGGCGACTTTTTTCTTTTACATATTCTTTCTTTTCGGACGGAGTCGCGGGACGTATCACATAATATCGTCTACTAAATAAAACAATTCAAAAACGAAACTGGCCAACGGTTCAATTTACATTCGTCTCAATTTGAAAATTAAATCGATCAGAAAAAACCTTATAAAATGATGACGTCATACATACCAGACTATAACATTAAAACAATAGCCTTACCGATGGGAATAGCAGAGTGGTCATTAATTAAAAGAGCTGACATATCCATTACGGAGTAATTCGGCTCGACAGTAAAATAGGACAAAGGAAATCTTAACCGTGGCTAAACCAGTGTATGTAAAGCTATACGAGTTCTGCCGTGACATAAATATAATACTTTCCCAGGATAAATCTACATTAAGGGTCTCTTTTAATGTCGAATTTACGACTCTGAGTGCTGAAGTATTTAAACTAAATATAGTTCAATATCTTAATTAAATTGTAAGTGGACTTTAAAACAGAATATATTTCGACTTATAATTTCAGCCAACCATTTAAAGTGCTCGAAATGAAAAAAGTATTTATATGTTTTCCGGAGGGGACCGGCGAGCTTCTTAGGTACTTTGCCCTCTATTTCCCGCAGTTAATGACGTCACGCGTTAATTAATTTTATGAAATCAAATCACGTGACAAATTGCGAACGGATTTTCAAATGTAGATAAAGTATGGAAAATATTTAAATGTAAAAATAGTTGTGTGTAAGAAATAACGAACGAACGAAAACAAGCAAATGAAGGCAGCATAGAGCAAGGAATATTAACTATTTTTTGTTACAATGACATTTGCACCATTAACCATGGGTTTCACAGACCAAAACCCCCTCTTAAACATATTGTTATATCTGTTTAATCAAAGATGAAAGAAAGGAATGACAATATATTTTATACAGAGATTTTAGTGGCAGTGCAACAATAGTAATTATAAACGTATCTCCTTATGTCTATAAATGAAATTAAGAATGAATTGTCTAAATGTGAACAATCCCGTCCACTTAACTTTATCATTTTACATTAAACATTTTATTTATTCCAAAGTACTTAACAAACTTGATATAAAAAAAATAAAGCAAGTTTAAAAACTTGTACACATTTTTGCTCTGATGGAAAATTAAGTGTTGTTTAAAAACATTCTGCATGTTCAAAGCAAACTTTTAAGTAAACTTTGCAGACATATTCAAGTGATGTGAGAAAAGCATGGCTTATGTGTTTAATACAAATTAGTCACAAGCGACTCCGTCCGCACAATTTAAAAAAAATTGAAATCGGTAAATTTCAGCAATATCCATACATCGGTTCTTGAGATACTCAAACATCCATCTATCCATCCATAAATTTAAATTTATAATATTAGTAAGATACTAAAAAGTACATCTTAACAGTATAAATTTTAAGCTAGAAGGAATATTTATAAGAGCATTTTAAAATCTAACAGATTACATTGCAATTAATCATTTTTGAGACATTCTCAACATTTTAATATTACAAAAGTTTTCCATTAGATAATTTTGTTTGTTTTGAGTTGTCATTTTAACAGTTTCATAACAAAACAAAGGGTAGAATGTTATCAACAGTTGTAAAACTATCTGGAAGGGTGCCAAATGTGTACGCAGATAGGGTGTCCCAGTTATAACTGTTAGCGGACTGTCCCAAAGCTGTCACAGTTCACTCAGTAAAACTGTTATTTGAAATGCCAGATGTCTAATTTGTGTATATACACCAACCATATTATCTATATTATCCTGGTTATGCTATAATTTGAATAGTGAATATGTAATAGTCCTCTGAATGTTTAAGGCTTTTTTGTCCTCAAATTAACTTTCAATGCATAGCCACCCTATCGGGATCATAAGGCCATCAAAGCAACAATTTGTATTCAGCACTTTTTATCTAATATTGTTACAAAAAATATTTGTCTCAAAAACAAAACTATTTCCGAATATTCATAATTATTTCCTCTTGTCTCATATTATTACACATATTATAATGTGATAAATATTAATATTGAAATACCGAATGCAAAAAACTTTCAAACTACAATATCACAATATAAATATATCCCACAACTATTATTTAAAATAATCAAGGACTCAATATAAAGGCAACATTAAAATGGATGAAAAATTCAATAATGACACAAAGATACCCATTATATTTGCCGTATATGGTTTGATAGGAAGTTAATGTACAGGAAATGAGTTAAGAGGAAGTGAAAGGTACTGAAACTTAATAGTCTACTTCATAAACATAATGAAGACTAGCAAACTTATAATAAAATAATATTATCTATATTAATTTTTTAAGAGAAAAATTTATCAATTGTTTGTCAGCACCTTACATTTAAAGTCAAAATGCTATGGAACATAATTCAAATAATATTTGCTACTTAAAATTTTTATAAATTATGGATATTTAACTTTTTTTAATCTGTATCCGTGTGCTAGAGATGCATTTTATTGTTAGGATACTATAAGGTAATTAAGCTGTTTTGTATGACATTATGATATAGTGGAATCTCTTCCTCTTAGAGGTTTTTCACTTATGCATTTTGTCTGTTGGGACAGACAATATCTGTCACTTATAGAGTTTTCTTACTTACCCAGGTTTGAGTGGTACAATTAAACTATTCATAGTCCAAATCAATAAACAATACAAACATTTTCATATTAGTAATGCAATTATCTCTTATTTAAACTGTGCTAGACTAAAAGAAAGTGTAAAAGTAAAGTGTTGCATATGAAAATATTAATCAAAAGAGCTATAACGGAAACTTAAAGGCATAAAACCAATATTTAAAATAACACATACAAACAATGCATATATAAAATTATGTATATGTATATTTGCATTGTATAAGGCTGTTAAAAATCTTATCTAAACTAGAATCAATATTACAACATGTTGGAATATGTATATTGAGACATTAGGAAAATTTCACTACAAAATAACTGAAATAAATAATTTATCTGTTTATCAAATTACTCAACAGTATAAACTTTGAATACATCCATTAACATATGTTTTTAATTCAAATAATGTGGGCTAAAGTAAATATGTGTCACTGATTCAGAGACAAAGTAATCAAATTAATTCTCAACAAGAAGAAATTAAAATTTACATTGAATGATTACTTTAGCTGTTAATATATAAAAGACCTTTATCTTTACCGAGGAAGTATATATTAAAATGTTTCCAAGATATAACTAATATAAATATTAATAATATCTATGATATTTGTTATAAACTCTCCATAACACAAACTGCAATTTAACTTTAACTATATAAAACTTATGTTAATATTACACTGTGTCATATTATTTAAACTTTCACTATATAACAAAACATATATCAACAATAACACTATATTAAGATCAAATGATTTCCACAATTGGTAGAGTTGAAAAATAAAACATCATTGAGAAAAGACTAACTGCTCCACATTTGTGTATCAATTGAGGTCAATTGAATTATAATCAGTTGTCTTTTACTGAAATGAACATTGTTGTCTTGTTGTCCATAGTTTTTTTTAATAAATATAGCTTTAATATACTTAAATAGACAATATTACTTTTATAGTATGTATGTTAGTGAATTATCATGTTTCATATACACTTTCTATTAATTTATAAAGTAAATAAAAGTATTTGGACTAAAATGATACTTGTTTATTTTTAAGATTAAAATTCATTTTAAGTGTAGTTGTAAATTTTCTACATTATGACCTTATTAATTGTTGTTAATGAGACAAAGACTTTTGTTGTTCTTTCAAACAATCCTACCATTTATCAATAGGGGGCAACTAACATCTGATGTATAATCTATATAGGGTTTTAGTTTTTTTAATAATAAAAGTATTTAATTTTTTTTTAAATCAATTAAAAAACCTTAAGATATAAGAAAGTTAACAAAGAAACTGTGTCAATTAATCACAAAATAGTTTGGATGAAAACCTAATGAACTCCAGTGAACATAAACAAAGAGATGAACAAAAAGTGTTTGCACTCATAACAATGACAAGAAATATTTCATACATAATATATTAAAAAGAGACATTTACCTCTATACTTCTTGTTGCAAATTCCACACCTATTGTGGATTTTGATTCTAAGTTGAATTCATTTCTAGTGAAACGAGACAGCAAGCTACTTTTACCCACTCCTGAGTCCCCTATGAGAACAACTGGAACAATGTTTGTTATAATTAATACTATGTAAAGAATCTATCGTAATGTAAAAAAATCATATGAAAGTTCGCCCCCTTTTTTACTTTTGTGATTAGATCATAGCGATGTATAAAGATGAGTCACGAACAAAAAGAGTACCATTCGATTATTTATGATACATCAGCTGATGCACTACAAACTTGTATATATGCTATTTTTATGAAATAAACAAACTATATTTTATTCTTTTCAATTTAAACTATACGTGGAAAAACATTTTTGTACATATTCAGTATAAATACTATTTCGACGTCATTTAGAATCGAACTGTAACACATAACAAAGGAGATTCTCAAATTATATTTTTTTATTCGTGCTTCTATGTAATGGTATTTTCCAACTTAATAAAGAAGATATTGTAAATAAATTTACCTTTGAACAAATAATCGTATTCGTCTTCTCTTGTGCCCATTTTGATTATCTACTTCGTTCGACGTCAAAATCGGACTGACAATAACGTAGAGAAATTTATGATAACAAAAAATATTCGGACACTTAAATATCACAGGCTTTAAAAACACTACACAGCTTCGTAAATATCACTTTTGTCAACGGATTTAATAAATATATACGAGTTAAATTAAATAAAATCTAAATTGTCACTGGAACAAGATGGCGGATTGTTGTACGCCCCTATTGGTGCGTTCAAAAACTTCAACTTTCAAGACTAAACTGACCTACAGATAACATAAACTAAAACAAAAAAGGTTTTTACATCAGATATATAGGTACTTTTCCTCTGTATCTATTGTAATGTCATATTAGTAATAATTGATTGGGAAAAAATAAGATTTGAAAAATTAAATTAATCTCAAGACAAGATTCTAACATACGTGTTTATTTTTACACCGCAAAAAATTCAACGTCCAACGTAGGATCATTTGACGTTTAATAAACCATTCATCATCAAAAAAGTTGCGTTCTAAAACAAATCTTAGATGGGGTTATAAATAAAAAAAAACATTTACATCTAGATCTATATTTATTACAAATTATTTTGATTACTGTACGATATTCACATAAATAAACATTTAATTACTAAGCAGTCGCCGCCACAGCTTCACCTTCATCGTCACTGTCTTCTTGAACTTCTTTGGACAAGGTGCGGTCAACGTGAACAAATGGATCTATTTTTAAAACTTCCGTCGATGGTGGGCTCACGATAAAACATCTGTCAATAAAAATCATATTTTATGACATGATTTAGAAAATTACATAAATTTTCGGATTTTGCTTAAGTACTACTTAACAATATTGTAAGTAATGTTTTAAGGTTTTATGATCAATTTTGATAAAAAAAAAATTACCTTGTAATAAAAAGTCCATCTCTCTTCGGCCTCGCAGACTGGACATCTTTGAGTAAAGCATCAATATTTTCAGCAACTTGTTTAGCTTCCATATTTAACTGAAAGAAATTCACTTACATAATTACTCCACAGATAAAGACGAGGGGAGAGGAAGCAGTCTTTCTGTTGTTTCCAGTCCTTTAATAAAAACCATAGACAATTTTAATTGACTGGTTGATGCTGATGATGATATTGTAAAATAGTGTTTAATCAATAAACAATTTTTTAATCTATAAAACAGATAAATCTTCTGTAATAAAGAACTACCAACCTAGAAATAGATTTAGATATGTAATTTTTTTTTGTTTCTTACCCTCCCAACTGGTACTTCCACTGAGCCAAAATTCTCTTGCGTTTCATCCTTGGTCACTCTATACTGAATACCAGCTGAAAATTTCTTGACTAAATCACAGATATTTGGATCTAGTGTACCATTACGAACATTAGGGAACCGCCGCTTCATGAGGCCACGGATTGGTACCAATTCAGTTATCATACTAGGGTGAGCAATCACAAAATCATAATCGGCTAGTTTTACTTCACCATCCTGAAACCAAATATAAGTTTTAGATAATTCATTGAAGTAAACTGTTCTACCAGAGATTCTAAGTTTCTCTTATTGAAGACCATTTCAAAATGTTACCAGTTTTATAGATATGTTCTTCTTCAACTTTGGGAACCCTTAAATTTATTTCTCACCAGTCATGAAGGTAACGGTCATGGAAAAGTTTGATTAAAAAAACTTCTTTGCTCAAAATTCTTTTTTAGACATAGACTAAGACATCTCACCTGTATTTTCTTAACAATTTCATTGGCACCAACAGTAGTGGCTCCTGCTTCTAATGCTTGCTTTATAAGTTCTGGACCTTTGCAGAATGCCAGGATAGTACGCTCTTCATCCCGAGGGAACGAGTGAGGCAATAGAGTCAGACGTGTAAAGGAGTCCATATAACGATTCTATAAAAAAAACAAATGACTAGACTGCTTGGATTTCATGTAAGCAAAACATTTTATTTTAAACACTAACTTGAACATACTTTTAATTACTCTTCATACTTTCAAACAAGATTTATAGTATTATAGATTAGTAATTAATATTATTTTCTTAGTTGGCAGATGTTCACAATTAAATTAAATATTTTATGTTTATGTAAATTGATATTTACCTTTTTAACTGCTTCCATATTCATTTCAACCTTAGCAAATACTAAAGCATCAGGGAGATTGTACATTGTGGGGTGGTGAGTCTCCTGGTGAGCTTTGACTGCATCTTCAGCAGTGTACACAACCCAACGGTAATAACGCATCGGGAACACATTGTCATTGGAGACTCTTTTATAGCTGTCATCTAAATGCTTGTTAATAGTGGCCTTGGAGGCCCTGTATACAGAATAAATTGTTTTAAATTGAATGGTATTAGTAAAATTACATGAACAAAATAAATTTTGTATTTTTGTTGAATAAATATACAGCAAACATACTTATCTTTCTTTCTTTGATTATGAGGAATGAATCCAACTTTAGTGATTTCAACTTTCACTTTCTTTGCCCGGGCTTTGGCTCTGGTACCTTTACGTGCAGCGTAAAATAATGTAGAAGTATGTATTGTCCTCTAAAAGTATTAAAATATATTTGGTCATACAAAAAGGCAAATTCTCGACTTTAAGATGGTACAGTGGTATGCTGTTATGTATTAAGCTTCAAAATTACGATACTAACCAAATTAGCCGTATTTGGGCCATATATTGATAAATTGTTAAAAAGCGTTCCTGGAATAAAGAAAATGATGTTAAATTTTTTTGGTTTATTGGTATATATTCGTATGAACTTTTAGAAAGAAACAGAACGGAATATAAAAATATTACTGACGAATTAATGTCCCGGCCATTGAATTAAGGAATCTAAATTTCCTGCAAAAACAAGAAATTAAATATTTTAAATAAGAGGTTATACCATAGACATCTATTTAATTTTACTATTTGACATTTGTTGTTTGTTGGTTTCGTTTAAGAATAATTTTTTTTTTCATTTTTTTGATAAAATTGTTATTCAATTATAGGCTGCTCTATTTGTGTTACCGCTATGTTAAGTTTATGGCTTTGGTATGTCCAAGTTTGGAAATTAGTAATCAGTTTAAAATATTTTTAAAATCTCCAAAGGAAAATATTGACTCGATTTGCGTTGTACGATTTTGATACCTTTGCTCCGTTGCTAGGACGATGCTTATGAGCTATAAAATTCTCTGTGGTCATCACTCAAACTTGAAAACAAACGTCTGCGGACATGTACAAAATCCAATATGATAAATAACTGAAACAAATGTCGTGTAATAAGATATTAAACCTATTTTGATAATAGTGTGATAGCACGTAAGTAAAAATGGAGATAGTCAATTCTCTGTTATTAGCGATTTCGCTTTGTGTTTTATTATGGGGTGTGGCCGGTCAGTATGAATGGCAGCTCCGAGATGCTGTCGATGAAATACGTGAAAAGATCGACAAAGTCACGGCCGATAACTGCTACATATCCCATTTGGATGACCTTTATCTCCCGGAGAATTCAGTATCACATCATCCCGATGTGAAAGAAATTAATATTAACCCGGTTTTCCCCAACCGTACGGCGATGTTGCATTTACACAACATGGCCATGAATAGAGCATTTTTCTGGAGTTACATTCTACAGTCTCGGTTTATAAGACCGGCTATAAATGACACATATGATCCGGGAATGATGTATTACTTCTTATCATCGGTTGCGGACGTCGCTGCAAACCCGTATATAAATGCCAGTTCCATATATTTTTCACCTAATACTTCCTACACTTCGTCGTACCGTGGCTTCTTCAACAAAACATTGCCAAGATTTGCACCGAGAGCCTTCAGAGCTGATGATTTCAATGATCCAGTACATCTACAGAAAATTTCTACATTGAATACATTCCATGTGCTGGATTTGGGAGCATTTGAGCCAGATAGTTTATCGAAAGATTACAGCTCAGATTATTATCGGACTAATGAATGGTACTTCAAATGGTTGCCTGACAAAGTAGATAAACGTCATGATACAAAGACTACATACCAAGTTGAGATCAGATACGCTAATAATACAAATGAGACTTTTACATTCCATGGACCACCTGGAAATGATGAGGTTTGTCAATTTAAGTTGTATCCTTTATCCAATTTTTGTTTGCATTGTATTTATCAATCAAAATATCAAAAAAATTGTTCATCTATTCAGTGATAAACACATTTTATACATACTTGTGTTCTCTATAATATAGAGATAGACTTTGTTGATTCATTATTCAACCTAATTGTTTTACTACCAAATCCATGTTAATCTTACACAAACACTTCTTATTTTTGCAGATCCAGGGACCGGTGAATTGGACACGTCCATACTTTGATTGTGGACGTCTCAACAAATGGTTGGTGGGAGCTGTGTCTCCCGTAGCAGATATTTATCCTAGACACACGCAATTCAGACATATTGAATTTCCAACGTAAGTACATAATACATAAATATTATAACAGTATCCTTAGTGGATATATATTGGTAGAATTTTTTGGTCTTCCGTAGTTCTTAGTAGTATGTTTTGTATAGGTATACTGCAGCTGTTGTTATGGAAATGGACTTTGATCGAATAGATATAAACCAATGTAATGTAAGTCTGGGGAATGATCGACCGAATCGCTTTGCTGGGACAGCACGATGTAAATTAGAAACAACAGAAGTAAGTTAAAATGTTTATTATAAAAATTGTTAACACTTGCTGTTTATTTCTCCAAGATTTCTATATTTACCTACTGCAATATTTCTTCATTCCCCACCTTTTTGCTCAATTGGTATACTAATCCTACACTAAATATTTTATTTATTTACTCTTAATGTTATCATAATACATAACAAAAAAGACAATTAACTAATTTACAAAGCAAGGGCGGCCTTATCGCTACAAGCGATCTCTTCCAGGCAACCCAGTGGGACAGGAAAGAATAACATAGATAGAGGGGTATAACATATAAATATCAGGATATGTCAAGAATAAATAAATAAGAGCAAGAATTATTAAAAATATATATATACTAGTTACATATAGATATACTAAACAAATTAAGCAACATAAATATACAATATACATGAATACACTAATCTATGAATACAAATATATAAATTATAGGAAAGCAGAAAAATAAGCTTAGCAAAAGGCTTTATTTAGAAGAATACTTATTAGTGTTTTTTATTTTCTTTTATTTATAGTTAAAAGGTCACCATTATGTTAATAAGATTCGCTTTTTTCTCCAACTTAAAGCAATAATAAAGCATTATA